TTCTCCTGCATTACGGGGTCTGCCTCTTCCCTGGTTTTGCGATACAACATCAACATCCATCCTCAGAGAATTCAAGCAAAAAACACCAATCAGAAATACCTGATAACTGAAAATACCCATCTTCGTAAAGAGAGAAAAACAATACAGGTCATCATTGAAATATTAATCAGAAGGACATTAGAAAACAAAAATCGACAACAGTGAACATGAGATGAATGAATGGGCGTCTCGTGGCTCATGCTGCTGGCAGTCGGGGTAGAAACTGTCATACACTCATGTGGGGCAGCACTCGCGTGGCCAGTCGTGGCGACATATTTGTGGTCTCGGAACGGTCATAAGTCAATCAGTCGAAAATCACATAGGTCATAAGTCGCATAGGTCATAAGTCTACGATGACCTGTAGTATTTTTTAACGATTTGCCAAAAACGATTTGTAAAAAAGAAAAAAGTTAGTTACTGGAAAAGTTACATTTTAAAAGTAGCCGCGCTACTAATAAGCTACTGAAAAAAGTAGTTCAGTTAGTCACATCACTAATTATAGTAAAGCTACTCCACAAAACTGAGAAAAATAGTACGTAAAAGTCGACAACACTCTGTTGACTCAATAACTGCAGAGTTCCAATGACGTTGTTTATGCCCCTTATGCTTCATCGTACCAGCACTCTGGACAATTCTATGCTTCCAACTTTGTGGAAAGAGTTTGGGGAAGGCCCTTTTCTGTTCCAGCATGACTGTGCCCCAGTGCACAAAGCAAGGTCCATAAAGATATGGATGGATGAATTAGGTGTGGAAGAACTTGACTGGCCTGCACAGAGCCCTGACCTCAAACCCACTGGACACCTTTGGAATGAACTAGAACGAAGATCCAACTGATCCAACATCAGTGCCTGACCTCACAATTGCTCTTCTGGATGGATGAGCAAAAATTCCCACAGACACACTACTAAATGTTGTGGAAACCCTTCTCAGAAGAGCGGCAGCTGTTATAGCTGCAAAAGGGGGACCAACTCCATTTTGATGCCTGTAGATTTAGAATGGGATGTCATGAAAGTTCCTGTAGGTGTAATGGCGTGGTGTCCCAATACTTTTGTCCATATAGTGTAGTGTGTGTGCATTCTATTGATGGTGCATTCTTGAAGAAAGCATATTAATTTTCATTGTACATATACAATAGCAATAAAGATACTGAAATTCCTCACTATGAAGAGATGGTCACTTACAGGCTAGAATGGTAGCTAGCATTCAACTATAAAAATAAATATTATAACTGTTAATATCACGTGTGCAAGATGTGTGTGTGTTGAGAAATGTATAGTGTGAATCCTCTCTGTTCTTTTGGAGTACAGAGATGCCAGAGAGGAGGGACTGAAAAGTCGGCTGCAACCTTTGGACCTGATTACTCAGATAAGCGTGAAGCTGTTCACTCCAAGGACAGCCTTACCTTTGCTACAGTAGGTTTCTCACAGATATGCCTTTTTACATACTGCTACTTAGTTACTAAAGTCTACTGCAGGCTGCTATAAACGAAGTTGAGAAAGGATACGCTCATTTTAATCGGATTATATGCTGGTCAAAGGTTATACGCTGTACTGTTTGCCAGTGTGCCTCAAGTCAAAGCTGTTGCTCACATCAGGTGCTACAGCAGGACGGGATTATTTCAGGTGAGAATCCATAATGCACATTATTGTATGACCTCATGTAATTTCATGAGGGCATATCAGTTTTTTTTGTTGTGCCAGATCGTACATATATCTGTTTTACAGTAGTTCTTTTAAAGAATGTTACATGTATACCAAGTAACTCCCGTACACCTGAAGGATATCAGGATTTATCTGAAAATATATCTTATCTGGTGGGCTTGTGCAAACGTACGGGTGAATAAGAATTCAGTACTAGAACGAGAAAACGTGGCTTTCAGATCATCGTCAAGTGCAGCAGATGTTCATATTTGGTAATCCTGGGGATAAGGTGCTTTTTGTGACTGATCTGCATGCGAATGGACAAATATAAATAAAACTAGAAGTTTTTAAAATCTTACATGAGGAAATGAAAGCATCTATGTTCCAAATATACTTAAGATCATCCATAATCAATAAGAAGCCATTCTTAAAATGCTTGTCGACTTGAATTCTTTATTAGGTTGCTCATGTGTTGATCCTGTGATTTGGAGATTATTCAACATACTTTGATATCAACAGCTTCTTTTCTTGTGTGTCCTTCAGATAAAATGAAAGGTTTCTTCTGGAAGATGCAGCTCCTGCTGCTGGCTGTAGTGCAGCTTTGGCTGTGCCTCCCTCCGGGTGCCAACAGTGGAAAGATTCTGGTCTTTCCGTTGGATGGAAGCCACTGGGTCAACATGAAAATCCTTATAGAGGAGCTACATTCAAGGGGCCACAATGTTACAGTCATACGCCCCTCCAGCAGCTGGTACCTGAGCGAAACGTCCCCTCACTACACCCCAGTCGTAATCCCTGACACAGCCGTGTTTGACGAGAGCTTTTTTGACCGGTACTTGTCCAGGTTACTTCAGCTCCGAAGGGACGGTGCATATATCTGGACACGTCTGAAGCTGGAAATGGAGCTATATTTTAAGTTACACGACCACATGGCTGACTTGATTGTTAAAATGTTTGAGGACCATAAGTTAATACAGTCCCTGCAGGAAGCTAAATATGACATGGTTCTCACAGACCCTGCTGTTGGTGGGGGGGTGATGTTGGCGCACCACTTAGGCCTCCCCCTTGTCTTCAACGTAAGATGGACCGCCCAAGGAGAAGCTCATTTTGTTCTTGCTCCTTCACCACTCTCCTACATCCCTTTTCCTGGAGCAGAGTTGACTGACAAAATGAATTTTTTCCAGAGAGTCCAAAACATATTAGCTTCCCTCTTTGGACATGTCCAAATTGAATTGATTACAAGAGCTTCTTATACAGCCGTGTGCCGTCGTTACTTTGGTCCGGAGGTGGACTTCTTGTCACTGATTCAATCGGCTGACATATGGCTAATGAGGAATGATTTTGTCTTTGAATTTCCTCGCCCAACCATGCCCAACGTTGTCTACATCGGTGGATTTCAGTGCAAGCCCTCCAAGCCCCTTCCTCAAGACCTAGAGGATTTTGTTGCAAGTTCTGGGGAACACGGCGTCATTATTATGTCCTTAGGTACGCTAATCGGTCAACTTCCACGCGACATCACTGACGAGATGGCTGCAGCATTTTCCCAGTTGCCCCAAAAAGTCATCTGGAGGCACACAGGAGAAAGACCAGCTAATCTGGGTAACAACACACTACTAGTCGACTGGATGCCACAGAATGACCTCTTGGGCCATCCTAAGACCAGGGCCTTTGTGACACATGGGGGGACAAATGGCCTGCAGGAAGCCATCTACCATGGTGTTCCACTTGTTGGCTTCCCTCTCGTTTTTGATCAGCCTGACAACCTGTCCAGGATGAAGGCAAAGGCCGTTGCAAAGCTTGTGGACATCACCACCATGGACAGAAACATCTTCCTGGAGGCCATAAAGGAGGTGCTCAATGACCCATCCTACAAAACGAACATGCAGAAGCTCTCCATGCTTCACCACGACCAACCAATGAAACCGCTGGACCGTGCAATGTTCTGGATCGAGTTTGTCATGAGACACAAAGGTGCTTCTCACCTGCGAACAGAGTCATACAAGATGCCTTGGTATGTGTATTACTCCGTGGATGTAATGCTGGTGTTACTGGCTGTCCTGGTTATTATCCTGCTGTGCATTTGTGCTTTTATGAAGTTTTTGTGTTACAGACTATGGTGCAGAAAAAAAGTAAAGAGTGAATAAATTGCTAAAACACTGTCGTAAAATAAGAAGCACCAACTTGTGTAACCAGTGACTCTTGACAAAATGGAATATAAGATTAATGGCAAAGGCATTAAACAGTTTATGTTTAGCTGTTGCAATAGACAGAGTGTACACAAACTCATAGTGATTCTGTCTGCAAAACATGCCAAACTATAGCCGTAATAAACAAATTAAAGCATTTCAGGTGTGTTTTCACAATCACAAGGTCCTATGAAGTGCTGGCCAGTCTCTTCTCCGTAGATGTGAGTTTTATATACTTCATAATAGTATGTTAAATTATAATATAAGAATTGTGCCCAATGACCTTGTATTGAGAACTATTAGTGCAATATCTCAGCAGAAAAACAAAAGCATACAAAAGAATACGCCAATGAAAGGACAGTTCAGTCTGTTTTTAATATTCTGTATTATAAAATTCAGTTTAAAGAATTGCCAAGAGCAAATTTAGTGTTTTATGCGAACCAAAAAATCATACATACACACATACATACTAGGGATGCAGCAATATCAGTATCAGGTGGAATACCGTGTTCGTATCCTCATTCTCGTGACAATGTGCCAGTTCCTATAACATACCACGTAATGACATATCAGCGATATCATTAATGAACAACTTAAATGGACAAAAAATCTGCAAAGTGGAAATAATGAAAACATCAAACACGAAATCCAGAGCATTGTGGACTGCAAACTGTATTCTACTAAACTATCAAGAGGCGGCATGAAATCAGGTTCGTACAGCACTAGTAGCCTAATTAAACATCTAAAAACCAAACATAAGAAAGAGTATGACGAAAAGGCCACAAGCAGAAACACTTCAAAACAACCAAATGCGCAGCAAGCATGAACACGGAGAGGGAAAAGGTTAAATGATAAATGTTGTGCACATTCAGTCACCATGGTCACTGAGCTAATGACATGTTTTTGGGAAGCCCATATACAATGTTTATCCCAATACATTTAAGTTACAATATGCCATATTATTTTTTTTAGACATCACACAGCCCTATTTGGTATCGGTGAGTACCAGAAAGGTACTTGTACTCGTTCTGAACAAATGGAATCAGTGCATCCCTAACACATACAAGCATAAAACATACCAGCAGCGGCTGCTGACCAAAAGTTTTAGTGACGCAAACTCTAGACACAACATTTGAATAGTTTTCAGCAGTCGCACCCTTTTCTGAAATATTTAATGGAGTGACTTGATTAAAGTATGAGTGGGCTATACCTCTGCAATGGGTTGGCACGCCATCCTGGGTTGTTCCCTACCTTCCTCCAGGATAGGCTCCGGACCACCGGTGACCCTGAACAGAACAAGCGGTTACGGATGGATGGATGGATGGATGGATGGATGGGCTACACCCCACTGAGCAAAGATACGTCCAAAACACTTCTCAAAGTCCAATACTGGGTTCCGCACCTGTCCTGCACATCCACAGACATCCAAAAAATCTCCTAAAAGTTCAATTATTGAAATTCATATCTATGTCCAAGAGGGATCATAGTCAGACATCCAAATACTGAACCTGATTTACATGTCATGCAGACATACAGGTATGGTCCTGGACTGAACGATGCAATATAATGATAATCGACACATCTGGCAGACGTTGTATGTTTGCCAGCACAGCTCTACATTACTGTTTTGCTCTACAGTACAAGTGCAGCAAAAACATACCAACAAAAGCCAGAAGATCGTCGTAGTGGGAAAGCACACCTGTAAACTCCCTAGAGTTTCCTGTGTTGTCAGAGTTTTCACTCTCATTCTGTTGCAGTCCCCTGTCAATCCAAGAACTCAATCACATTAATCAGCCTCTTCAGAATGTTGTGGTTTTGCTCACCATGTCCATTTTCGGCTAACTGGGACCCAGTAATGCAACAGGGAGTGAAATCACATATTTGTTTAAATCATGACTGCCAGTCTCTCAAGCAAACACAATGAGACAAGACACAAACAGAAAAAAAATATATAACTGGCCAACTTAAAGAAAGGTAATATAAACAACTGATAAACAACACCTGCCCTACACAGACCTTTGCAATTATAGGACACGTTACATAGAATTGTTAAATTCTGAAACCTACGCAAGCTTACTTTCAAGTCATGTAGCATATTTTTTTAGACCATCCCTTTGCTCTTGGAGCACTTACGGCTGGCCATAGAGATCGACATATTGTCCAGCGTGTAAAAGGAAGCAAGCTCAGTATCTTTATTTTTAAAAATCAAATTACCCCTGTTAACCTTTTTTCACACCAAACGTTGGAGAGTTAATGAAGAAAGCTGGTCAACTTTTCCACGTCAATATGTGTCTAAGTATTTTTCCTTATTAAACAGTTTTGAGTAGTATTTGAGTATAGTGCAAGTGAGTTAATCTGTATTATTATTAGTAGATGATTCAGTGCAATTAAATGAACAAACAGACTGGTGGGCCAGTCTTACAGGTAAAACACTGCATTACCGGATGGCCATAGAGCAGCATATGTGAGCAGCTTTAACCCAAGGAAGTAATTGACTTAAGATATAAGAGCAGAGTTTCCTGAGCAGGAACTGGATGAAAAGGGACCTAGAGAGGAAGAGAAGGGCCTTTCGGTTTGGGCAGATGACCAGGAAAATAAAGAGGATTCAAGGAACAGTGTAAGGTCATTTACAGAGTAAATGAGGGAATTATGGAAATTAAAATATGCTAAACATTTTACATAGTAATTATTGTAAGATGTGATGGCCTTTGGTTGCCATCTATACTTGAAAATTACAGTGAAAATGTTTCCTAGCTAGTACATTTTATACTGAACTAACCCAGCTGGCTAGTAGACTCAAGATTCAAAGGATCAAGATTCTTTAATTGTCACATACAGAGTTATAAAGTACAACACGCAGTGAAATGCATCCTGAACTGCCCTTTTGTAGACTGTGCAAGTTTAACTTTAGCATAATTGGATTTAAGTGCAAAAAAGATACAAGCAGAGAAGTATGTTCAAAATGAACGGTAACACAGACATAAAAAGTGACCAGTGTAGCAGTGCTGATATGGTGAGGGGCACAAGAGCACAATGTACATCAGGGTGTGAGGTGCAATGGCACGTCCAGGTTCAGAGACCTTATGGCCTGGGGGTAGAAACTCCTCCTAAGCCTCTCAGTCCTGGCCATGATGCTCCTGAGTCTCTTTCCTGATTTCAGAAGCTGAAACAGGTTGTTATTGGGGTTTGAGGTGTCCTTGATGATCCTGAAGGTCCTGCTCCTACATCTCGATGTAAATGTCCTGCAGAAATGGAAGCGCCGACCTGCAGCAGCGTTCTGCTGCACGGGTCACCCTCTGGAGGGCTTTGTGGTCCTAAACAGCTATTCCCGAACCAGGAAGTAATGTTCTGAGTCAGGATGCTCTCCACAGCGCCAGAGTAGAAAGTCTGTAGGATTGTTGGAGAGACCCTGAACTTCCTCAGCTGTCGCAGGTGGTACAGGCGCTGCTTAGCCCTTTTGGACTGGACTTCGATGTGAACAGTCCACACCAGGTCCTCAAATGTGGACACCCAGATATTTAAAACTCCTCACCCTCTCCACAGGAGATCCGTTGATGAGGGGAGTGTAGGCCCTCTGCTGCCTCCTACTGAAGTCCACCACCAGCTCCTTTGTCTTGAAAAAAAATTCCACAAGACCTGACGTCACAGAGAACCCTAATGGAACACTGCCCAAACAGGGACTTGAACCCTGGACCCTCAGATGCTTTACCGACTGAGCTACCCAGATTATTGTCAGTACATCCATGAATGGATAATACTGAGAACACAGACCTGGGGGGCTCAGCCTGAGTACCAGGGCAGTGCTGCATCCTATGGAGACAGGCTGAGGTCTGTCAGTCAGAAAGTCCAGGATCCAGTTACAGAGGGGGTCTTCATGCCCAGGTTTACCTGTCAGGGGACTAACTGAACACCCCTTACTATAGGCAGGTACTAAAACCCCAAACTAATATATTAAAATCACAAAGGAATAAAAAGCCAGGAGGCATATATTCAAAATCTCGCAAACCCACAGCAACCAAACGAGCAGGTAAATTAATACAATCCAACCACACTGCTGGCCGGAAGAAACCCCCCTCCACACACACACACACACACACACACACACACACACACACACACACACACACACACACACACAAAAGCAAAGAAGCCATTTACATGGGCCCATGATAAGACATACAACATGTATCCCAAAGCGCAACTGGTAGGCTATAACGTCCACAGTTCGCCGCTTGCCACTACGACACCCTCGATCTTCTGCAGGGCCGACCCGAACTACTCCTCGATCCTCTGCAGGCACTCAAAGAAAACCAGCGCGGAAAATAGGACGGGGCAATAATAGCCAGACCGGCCGCCACTTATACCCACCAACACACAACAGAGAATACCGACATCACCTTTAAAACACAGCATCACCGTGCAGTTAAACCACATCAGGTCCCACTACCGATCGTTTGTCCTGGATCCCGACCACTCCATCCATTCTCCTCGGCGCGTCTCTCACACGCTTCCCAATATACTTTAACCAATAAATCAATTACTCAATCACACGTGTAATTAATCACGATTTTTAAAAAGCCACAAAATAACCCAAAACACAGGACAGAAAATTCAATAATATAAATAAAACACAAACAAATGACATATCCCCTTCCTTTCCCCTCACATTGCCTGACACACCTTCCCTACTGGCCTTCGCGCGATGATCGTGCTGGATGCCAAACTGAAGCCCGTGATCAGCTTTCTGCTGTACTGGTCCTTTCCGTCCAGGTGTGAGAGGCTGAGCTGGAGGGCAGTGGATATGGCATCACCTGCGGCTCGAATTGGGCGACAGACCAGGCGCGGGGGGTCCAGCTGGTCCGGCTCAGACCTCGCCGTCTTCCACAAGCTGACTCTGCATAGTGTCTTCCTGACATCAGCGGTGGATTGGCGAAGCACCTGCTTGCCTTAGTCTTCCTCGCCTGTTCCCTGTGCTGTGCCTCAAAATGTGTGAAGTCATTCATCTGGGGGTAAAACACGTATTGCGGAGAAAGGCTGAGCCTTAAGAATAAACGATATTACAGCTCTTTTAAAACGAATATTACTATCCTTATTAATATAGCCACTATCGGTTTAGTGCTAGCAGCGGCACAGGCAGAGAATCCAACAATTCACACGGCACTCGGGGATACACGCTAAACGCACGCATTGGCAGGGATGCCAGCTCTCACGCATCGAACGGTAAATCTCTATTACGGTAAATCTCTATTACGGTAAATCAAAACACTCGTTATAAAATATCGTTTGGCGCCATCTATTCCCCTTTTCGTCTAGACCCCGAATATAAAACGGCACCACTTTTCCAAACGTATTTTGAGGGAGAAAAAAGGCTATTAATCGGACCATCCCGGTATTTGGGTGATAATGGCAAAAATGTCAGTAGTCGTAAAAACTTTGTACCAAACAGTTAAACTTGCTTGAAAAGGTGAAATTGTCAATAAAACACCCTATCACCTAGTCTGGCATAATCTTACATTAGAACCACTTAACAGATAAATAAAACTAACAGAACACCATTGTTCTGAATATTATAAATAACTCCGGTCAATTTCTTTTAGTTATCATGGTTTTGTAACCAGTTATTACCACAATTCAATTTTGCACCTTTTTTTGCAAGAAAATCCCATGACAGGGAATAATATCACAGAGAAGGACCCCTGGTGAGCCAAACTGCAACAGGCAACTCTCTTTAAAATAGCAGATAGTTTGACATTTTTAGAGTATGGTCAGGTGTGCCTAGACTTACATGTCAAATAGTATGAGCCCAGGAAAAACTGTGAATTCATTATAATTATGAAAATGAGTATTTACTTTAAAAATGACGTTGGACACATTCACAATAAGGTCATGCTCGCACATCAGTGTCCATGACAATGGCTGTTAAAATCAGAATTTGACTTTAAATTGAAATGCCAAATTGTGTATCTGGTTACAGCAGCCACATATTAAAGTACCAATAGAGGTCGCTCTCAGTCCAGGAACGCCAGTCCAGTCATGATGCTGAAGCCCAGGAGAATAAAGATCACTTTGGGCAGCTGTCTCTCGGGAGAGTTCAGCTCATGGGGCAGGATCTCCAGGAAAGTTATGTAGATGAAGGATCCGGCTGCCACACCCTCAAGGACGGCCTGGATCAGAGCCCCTGAAGAGAGGTCTGCCTCCGTCACGGCAATGCCCACGAGGATTCCTAGCGGTGACATCAAGGCAAAGACGCCCACATAGGCCAATACCCACAGCGGCTTCACGGCACTCTGGACCAGCTTCAGTGAGAGGCTGAAGACGATGATGCTTTTGTGAAGAACGATGGCTATGCAGATCTCCATTACCTTAAGAAACAAACCCTCTCTCAGATGTTGCAAAGGGACAATTTTCATCTAAGTACAATGACAACTGGGGTGCAAATGTGGAAACTGGAAATGTGTCCCGATGGTCAGATACCAGTTAAAAGGACACCACTTAACAAATCCCTGAGGATATCAGGGATTGACAAAAATGTGCATATTTGATAACCTGAAACAATAAAGTTATTACACATAAGTGCAAATGGGGATATCAACACCAAAGACCTGATTTACAGTGACATGTCCGAGATGGACAATGGGAAAGGTGCATAACTACCATTTCGGGAAGTATAAGGAGTTTTGAGCCTAAAGATGTAGTATCTTAAGTGCTCCTACCTTGGAGTCTATAGTCTGCAAGCCAATGGCCAGACCCTCAAAGACAGAGTGCAGCGACAACGAGAGGAAGAGCATGAAGGAACGGAAGGAGGAGTGAGCCTGTGTGTCCATGTGGACGTGGGGGGGGGCACCCTGCTGGTGGCCGGCTGTGCCATGCCCGTGGCCACCAGGGGGCAGTAGTGGGCTGTGCTCCTCAGTTTTGTGGCCTGTGAAATGCAGGACGATCTTTTCCAGGATGAGCACAAGGAAGAATCCACATGCCATAATGAACTCCGGTAAGGGGAAATCCGTCTGTTCAAAGGAATCAGGTCAGGAGTTAAGAAAGTAATTACAGTATGCAGGATACTTGTGAAGTTAGAGGAGCCATTTAAAGGAGCCCGGCTGTCATTATGCTTCAGGAATAAATCCTCCAGCTGTAAGTGACCGAAGTTAAAAGCAACTGAGTGCAAACATAATGAGAGAGGAAGTTAATGAAGAGAGTATCTAAGACGTCGATTGGAAATCCGTGTGGACAGCAGCCTTACCTCTAACTTCTGGGATTGTAGCTCCTTCCCGATGTCTGATAAGAAATCTGGGATGACATCCAAAAAGCAGGTCGCCAAGAACACACCTCCCGCAAAACAGCTCATCAAGCTAAGCACAGCTCCGTGGACTTCTGAAGGTGCGAGATATTCACCAGGTCAGTCTGGGCAAGATGGCTCACGCTCATTATAAAGCGATTATATAAAGCGACAGCAAGCTCCTGACTGTCGTGATAAATGATTACTGTACTCTTTTAGTGAATTCACATAGCTATGTGTCACTATCAAGGGATGCATATTTACAAGGACATGCACCAAAGCAGTGGGTGAGACGTCATCCATGAAGATAAAGCAGACAAAGGAGGACAACAGCGTGAGGAACCACAAACTCAGGCTGGGCACCGGGCCTCCTGTCACAGCACCAGAAACGCTGCCTCACGGCTGAGTGAGAAGACGGATCTGCCTCTGCTTGTCAGGGTGACCTGCACCAGATCTTATTCTGCACATATCCTGTGCAGCAGGCTGCGTCTTTAAGACAATGGGCTGAAAAGCCAGTGAGAAGAACCCAGCAGACTGGGAGAATGATACGTCAGTACGGAAATTTCAGTAGCTATGCCGTTAATACTAGCAGGTCAAAGAAACTACGATGTGTTGCTCTTCTACTTATGAAAATGTTCAATATCTGCCTTAAAATAACTTTTAAAATGGTAATGAACTGAAAGCATAATGCTTGCAGGGAGGGAGGTCTGTAAATAGCCAGACGGCTGCTCCTGGCTCCGAAGACTCCGCTACAATACAGTTCAGAAGCAGTTTGTATGTTTATTCGGGTACCTATTAACTACCTAGCTTTGGTCTACTACACCTAGGACTGGACGATATGGCAAAAATTTATATCACGATATATTTCTTAATA